CCCTTAGTGTTTTCACTATTATTTGCGATTGAAAATTTGAGTTTACATGCTTTAATTCTCATAGTAAAACGTTAGAAGCTTATTGTGTGCATGTCTATATTTTTCCTTGAATAAATATTGGAACCATATGGAAAATCAAAGTTTTTGTGAATATATTTATTAAGATAACTCGATTTTAGCTTCAACCGTTAATGATTTGAGGTGTGACAAAAAAACCTCTATCAACCTTGAAAATCTAAATGTTGCTATCGACGAGCTATCTCGAAATAGGACAAGGTTTTTATAATATAAGACTTCTTGGATCTATTAAAACTAAAATCTCGTATGAAGTTATATGTCTTCCGTTAATTCAAAAATACAGAACTGCATTGAAATAATTTTAAGTTCTAGAACTTTCTCATTGCATTTTTAATATGCGTGCATTTGGTTTATTTTTTTAACTATTTATTCAGAGAACGTTTAGAGCTCAGAGAGCGGTGATTAAGGGAATTGGGAATTCAATTTTCATCTCCTGTCCGTGTGCAATCTCTAAGTACTCTGTGGAAGGTTTTAATTAACATATTTTTTAAATGATTTAGTAATAGAACAAAGTGATTTTATCTATTGAATAAAAATATATTTAACGAAATTGATAATGATATAATTATACGACATTTTTAAAACATGAAAACACATCAGGAACAATTATAGTTATATTATTTAAAGTAATTTTTGCCCAGAAAAAAAAAATACCATAGCTCCGCCCCAACACCTATGTACGTGTTGATGGATAGACTTTACTAGGTAAGTCAAGAAGAAAATGATAACTTCTATTGTAATATTTGGTACGAGATGATAACGTGGACATGGCAATTAAAATATAAAATACAATCATGCTACATGTACATTAATTTTGACATCATGATTGACACCGTATCAATCTACACCATTAATTTCGAATTTGAAAATTTCATCACTGTCCCCTCAACATGGGGGATGTCACTTTGGATGTAATCCAGCCTTATCCTATAAAAAGTTGTAATATTGTCCGACCATAAGATATTTGAGAAGCATGCGCAATAGCCAATAAGAGCATCTTTTAAAAAGGTATAGTACCCGAACTCCATGCTCTTGACAAGACAAAAGTTGCACATAATTTGGAGCGGAGAATATTCATTGGTATACTTCCTCTAAGTGTCGTCAATGTGTCAAACACTGTGAGTGGATGAAAACAATACGCCCCTGTTTGGCCCCCATTATTGATGAGAGAATGTGTGGTGAAAAAGTGGTGAAAAGTTTTAGATTTTTGTGTAATATATGAAAATTTCTAGGGTTTTGCATATATATGAAAATTCAATAAGATTGAACAGAAAATAATCTAATCATCGAGTCGATCAAGTAAAAACTTGAGCTCTTCAAAATCGATATTCAGGCCTCATTTAAAATATGACTCAAAATATGCTAATTACCAAAGTTATAAAATTATTTTTCTTGGGGTTTGTTGAACTATCATCGATAGATTTTTATTTATTGTAAAAGGTAAAGGAAAATAATTATGTATAAACAATTATAGAGGGCTTCAATAATGTCCAAATGCTTAACTTAAAAATAGAACGAGTAATTCAACGTGACATCAGAGTATAATAAAAGCCTTAATGTTTTAGAAATATTTACCTCAATTTCCCTTTTGCATATCTTATCGCCGTTCGAGCTTCCGAGCAGCGTGTCAGCTGAGAGGAGACTAGGTAAATTCGGCTTAAGCGAGTGAAGTGAAGTGCTCCCCTGCACCCATTGATAATTTAATGAATAGGGATTTGACTCCATTGAGGAAAGAAAACTGAATAGATTGGACACCTGAAATATATCTGGGCTTTTGATGGATTTAAAACAATATGGGCCTTACAAAGGTTAATAGGCTTAGTAGAAATGTAGGCCCAAGCACTCGAAATTTCATGCCCATAGTGTGACAACTCACATCCCGGGATGTCAAAATCGCCCTGCGTTATCTCCAGCGTGGTGGGGGTCGGGTGGGGTGGCGTGGGGATGGGAAAGGTCTCCTAGCTTCATTTCGATCCTTACGGTACTTCATTTATTATACGAAGCTATGTTTGTTAAAAATTAGAAAGTACTATGATCGAGCATAATTTTTTTAATTTTTTTCCTTTCTTAAAATTGTGCAATATTGTCAAATGCGACAAACTAAACATGTCCATAGTGTATAGTATTTCATTTTCCTATTATGGGCAACACATTGCTTGCGCGAGTTAAATCATCATCGTATATATGCTGGTGAACTTAAAAGATGTCAAACATGTTGTATTTGTCGACCGTTCAATGTAGTCTTATACATGTTTGAACGTGGATTTTGGGTATGGGATTGTCTTTCAAGTAATTTACTAAAATTAATAAATTTCCGGGTCAACATATGATAAAAATAAATATCATTTAGAATGTCCAATTTCTTTAAGTAAGCTATAAGATATTGTAAGTGCGTGTTTGACCTTCATTATTCCACATTATAATGAAATGAATAATAATTTTTTAGAGAATATGTAGTTAAAAAGAAAGAATTTTTTTTGAGTTTAC